TCAATTCCTGTGCGTGCGTAGGTGACGACCCTCTCGCTTCAAGTGAAAAATCAAATAATTTTATATCTGTGGCAGATGTTTGAGCCGCGATTTTCACGAATTACGCAGATCTTGCAAGGAATAGAAAACTGCCTATCCACCTTGCAGAATCATTTACACAGGTGGTTTATACGAACCCCCTAAAATTGATATTCTGTTAATTTTTTCTGTTTTTTTTTTTGCCATAAAATTTAACTGAAAATGAAATTCCAGATCCACCCCACATTTTTTTGGGAAAAATAAAAATAGGAGAGAAAATTTTAAATAACATCATACAGTATGTTCTAAACCAGAATCACAATGGGAAATTACATACACCATATTAATAACATCAGAGCAACAGCACAATTTAGAACAAGCAACCACAAATGATAGAAACAAGTTGCTATAACAATACACAAAACGCAAATTGAACAGAGACTTTGTTTACACTGCAATGAAGTAGAAAATGAAATACATCATCTTATGGACTGTAAATTTTACACTGAACATAGAAATACAATGAACAATGTGGTACAACAAATCAACCCAGAATTTCAAGACAAAAATGAGTTATTAAAACATTAGAATATTATTAGCACTAGGACACTATTCAGTCTCTCAGCAGCAGCAAACAGTTCAAAAGTGAATCAGCTACTGTAAAATACTTTATTTTAGCTGGAATTAATTTTTGCTGAAAAGACTTTTTGGGTGTTTTGTTCAGGATTTATTTTCACTGATTTTTGACAAGTTGAATGTTAAATGTAGTAAAAAAGGTATATTTGCTGGATTTTATTTTCACTGAATCATTCCTTCAGCGGAAATTAATTTCAAACGAGTATTTTACAGTATTCTATGTCTTGTTTTTATTTTTGCTTGGCTGATTTTTTTCACCAAAAAGAAATTTCAATTTCAATAAAGATCTATTTTATTCTATTCTGTTCTATTTTCTATTCTATCTATCCATTCTTATAATAATCCATCATAAAATGTACTTCAGGTGATGAGAGAACAAAAGACACCTAGCATTGTAAACAACGTGAAGAATAGACTCCCATAATTCCATGGTAAAATCCCAGGGATTAACAGCTTCCCCTTCAGTGATTGGCATGACAATGGAAGCATAAGCCTATACACAGTACGTACCGTTTGCTAACTAATTCTGATTGACAGATTGCATTCAGTGGATCGGCAGCCAAGTAGACACAAAAGCACGGGATTTCACTGGATTGCAATGTTGCCACGGGAAAAACTGTTCACACGGTACTAGGAAACTAGGGTAACACTGAGCAGGCGAAAAATGTGTCACCCTTATCTACCGTCACATATTCGTCAACCGGTGGAATGGCGTTCTGACAATAAAAACAGAAGAGGTTTTTGTCTTGAATTTTATTTAAGTACGCGGTCATCGAAAATAACTTTTATTAAATAAGCATATTCAGATTTAATAAACGTCTGAAAGACGAGGATCTGGTACGGTCTTGGTCGTCGTCAAAAGTAAACGACCTCGTTGGAATTATTATTATCGTTTCTATCTCTACACACGATTGGCACGCGTTTTAAGTAACGGAGCCATTTTAGATATAACACGTTTCCTTCGAACAACATGGCAAAGATCGCCACATCTAATATAATGTGCGATATACTTACCTAACCAAGACACAGGGAAGTATTACGGCACCAAAAAATGTTGTATATTTTCGACCTGCCTCCGATCGCACACAAAGCACTAAAATACAATCGACTGGCAATGTCCCTACACTAATCCGGTGTAAGGGCGCCCTCTTGGGTGACCCAGGAAGTGTGGGTCACCTATCGCGTCAACTCGTCTCACATAAGACTAGAACTGGTTGATAAGTTCACAAAAAGTAAAACAAAAATTTAAACCCAGAAAACATACA